GTGTATGTATGAGAGTGTGTGTGAGTGTATATGTGTGTGAGTGTGTGTGAGTGTATGTATGAGTGTGTGTGAGTGTATATGTGTGTGAGTGTGTATGTGTATGTATGCGAGTGTGTGTGAGTGTATATGTGTGCGAGTGTGTATGTATGAGTGTGTGTGAGTGTATATGTGTGTGAGTGTGTATGTGTGTGAGTGTATGTATGCGAGTGTGTGTGAGTGTATATGTGTGCGAGTGTGTATGTATGTGAGTGTGTGTGAGTGTATATGTGTGTGAGTGTGTATATATGAGAGTGTGTGTGAGTGTATATGTGTGCGAGTGTGTGTGTGTGTGTGTTACCTTGCCCTGCAGGCACTCGATCAGATGGCCCACAGTCATTCTGGATGGAATGGCGTGAGGATTGATGATGATGTCCGGAGTGATTCCCTCACAGGTAAACGGCATGTCCTTCAGAGAAACACAGCAGATACCATCAGACAGTATTACCAGGAACATCACAGTAATCCTTAACCTGTTGAGCCCTGAGCCTGTTTTCAGGTCTCAGGCTCGAAAATGACATTCCCAATTTAAAGAAAATTCAGATTTTACATAGTAAAAAACTGTAAATTATAGTGAAAACTACCCTTGGATGATGGTAAGGTAGACTAAAAGCTTTAGGAATCCAAAGTACAACATATAATAAGTACCCTGTATCAAGATTGATGCAAAACAAGTGACATTTGACCTTATTAGAGAGGTTTAGCCAAAAACACTCCACCTCTGAGAATGTTAGCATTTTTAGCTACCTAGCGTCACCTGTTTTGATGTCTGTTTTTGTTTATAACATCACAAATTCATATAATTCAGTGATAATGAGGGTACCCATCGATTCTGTGTCACCTCACAATGTGAATCGATGTCATGGCTGTGGAGAAAAGATAAATAATAAGGTTTTGAGAGTGATTTTCGGTGCCGTAATCTGTTAGCATTTTTTGCTCGTTGCTAATTCAGAGGCTCAGTGTTAGCATTGTGGGTTTTCTTTTGAAAAATAAATAAAAATGATCAGTTAGATGAGTTTCTTCCCGTTACATGGATATAAAACATTCATAGTTTATTAATGAACATGCCCTCAGACACTGTTTCCTGCAAGATGTTGCGGCAGTGCCCCGGTACCGTGGTCTCTCGGGCTTAACAGGTTAACCAGGAACATCACAGTAATCCTTAACCAGGAACATCACAGTAATCCTTAACCAGGAACATCACAGTAATCCTTAACCAGGAACATCACAGTATTCCTTAACCACCAGTTAAAACATGTCAGTGTACCTCCTGTCTGTACTGGATCCCACACGTTCCCTTCTGCCCGTGTCGGCTGGCAAACTTATCTCCGATCTGAGGGATCCGGACGGAGCGCACCTGAGGAAGCAGGAAACTCATCAGAAAACATCAAAGAGACGACAGCTGCAGCCGTAATATTTATCCCTCAGTCATGTATAATAGTTTTCTTATTTGTATGGTAGGCTATTTTCTGTGTGTGTTAACACCTGTATGGATCTTTAGGACTCTCTCTGTACACCTGTATGGATCTTTAGGACTCTGTACACCTGTATGGATCTTTAGGACTCTGTACACCTGTATGGATCTTTAGGACTCTCTCTGTACACCTGTATGGATCTTAGGACTCTGTACACCTGTATGGATCTTTAGGACTCTCTCTGTACACCTGTATGGATCTTTAGGACTCTCTCTGTACACCTGTATGGATCTTTAGGACTCTCTCTGTACACCTGATGGATCTTAGGACTCTGTACACCTGTATGGATCTTTAGGACTCTGTACACCTGTATGGATCTTTAGGACTCTGTACACCTGTATGGATCTTTAGGACTCTCTCTGTACACCTGTATGGATCTTTAGGACTCTCTCTGTACACCTGTATGGATCTTTAGGACTCTGTACACCTGTATGGATCTTTAGGACTCTGTACACCTGTATGGATCTTTAGGACTCTCTCTGTACACCTGTATGGTTCTTTAGGACTCTGTACACCTGTATGAATCTTTAGGACTCTGTACACCTGTTTGGTTCTTTAGGACTCTCTCTGTACACCTGTATGGTTCTTTAGGACTCTCTCTGTACACCTGTATGGTTCTTTAGGACTCTCTCTGTACACCTGTATGGATCTTTAGGACTCTGTACACCTGTATGAATCTTTAGGACTCTGTACACCTGTATGAATCTTTAGGACTCTCTCTGTACACCTGTATGGTTCTTTAGGACTCTGTACACCTGTATGGATCTTTAGGACTCTCTCTGTACACCTGTATGGTTCTTTAGGACTCTGTACACCTGTATGGATCTTTAGGACTCTGTACACCTGTATGGATCTTTAGGACTCTGTACACCTGTATGAATCTTTAGGACTCTCTCTGTACACCTGTATGAATCTTTAGGACTCTGTACACCTGTTTGGTTCTTTAGGACTCTCTCTGTACACCTGTATGGTTCTTTAGGACTCTCTCTGTACACCTGTATGGATCTTTAGGACTCTCTCTGTACACCTGTATGGATCTTTAGGACTCTCTCTGTACACCTGTATGAATCCTATCATACCCGGATCTTGCAGAACTTGTAACCCTCCTGGTTCAGGGTCACCATCACTTGGTCCACGATGCCGGTCTCGCTGGTCCTCAGGAAGGTGCTGCAGTCTCTCTTGGTGTAGCGCCGGTTGACGCTGTCCAGCTCGTCGTCGTTCTCTGGCAGCGTCACCGTCTTCCCGATGATCACGTCCTCTCCCGAGACACGGACGCCGGGTGCAATCAACCCGTCATCGTCCAGCTTGTCATAGATCGCGTGTCTCATACCTGAGGAGGATTTGAATCAGTTACACATGGCGTTCTGACACTGCAGGTAAAGAGATCGGCTCTGAGCTCCATCCTCACCCTGACAGGTTTCACGGGTCGGCTTCTCAAAGATCTCCTCCTGATCAAAACCTTTCTTAGACTCCTGCTCTTTGTAGGACCGGTAGAAAACAGACCTACAGGAGAGAGAACAGCTTGAGAGACATTTTATATCACATTACATTATGCAGGATTAAGGGTTAAGAGTTAGCGCTGACCTGAAGAAGCCCCGGTCCACAGCGGACCTGTTCATGATCACAGAATCCTCCTGGTTGTACCCCGTGTATGCGGCGATTGCCACGATGGAGTTAATACCTTAGGACATAAAGGAAGTGTCACACACAAGCTTGTTTCATTATTCTGAAAGTAAAACTCTGAGTCAGACCTCAGGCAGAGGTTTGAAACCTCTTTGAGCTTCCCTCTCCTGAACAGAGTCATCAGTGTGTTCAGGCGTGTTACCTGCAGGCAGCTCTCTGAAGCGCAGGTACTCCATGGACCGGGTGGTGACAAGCGGTTTCTGAGGGTAGTATAACACGTGGGCAAGCGTGTCCATTCGCACATGGAAGTTGGTGATGTAGACTCCCATGGCCTGTTTGCCCATAGCAGACTGGTACGTGTTCCGGGAGACTGAACAACAAATCACCTGTCACTACGTCGCGCTTTTCATTTTGTTATTGATCCTCCACTCTAAGGATGCATTGAAGAGAAGAGAGCTGGTACCTGGTTGTGATCGGGGAAGGGGATGATGGAGGCACACACTCCGAGGATCATGGACGGGTGGATCTCACAGTGAGTGTAGGTGGAGCAGTAAGCCACGCCCTTCTCCTGGAGGTCATCAGGGGTCATAGCAAGCATCACCGTCTCCTCCTCCAGAGTATCGATGTATTCCACCACGCCGCTCGCCACCAGATCCTGCCAACTGACACCAGAGACCAGAGATCAGCAACAACCTTTCAGATCCTGCCAGCTACCCACCAAATACCTTTCTACTACAGGACCTTTAGGAGTGAAGCCGACAAACTCTACGGGAAAAAACTACAAACTCTGCAGGAACAACCGCCAATTATACGTGAACAGCCATCACAACTCAAACAACGAACTCCTGCGGGACAATCGACAAACTCAACCTACAAACTCTAAGGGACAACTAATGAACCCTACGGGAACAACCAATGAACCCTACGGGAACAACCAATGAACCCTACGGGAACAACCAATGAACCCTACGGGAACAACTAATGAACTCTACGGGAACAACTAATGAACTCTACGGGAGCAACTAATGAACTCTACGGGAACAACCAATGAACCCTACGGGAACAACTAATGAACTCTACGGGAGCAACTAATGAACTCTACGGGAACAACCAATGAACCCTACGGGAACAACTAATGAACCCTACGGGAACAACTAATGAACTCTACGGGAACAACTAATGAACCCTACGGGAACAACCAATGAACCCTACGGGAACAACCAATGAACCCTACGGGAACAACCAATGAACCCTACGGGAACAACTAATGAACTCTACGGGAACAACTAATGAACCCTACGGGAACAACCAATGAACTCTACGGGAACAACCAATGAACTCTACGGGAACAACTAATGAACTCTACGGGAACAACTAATGAACTCTACGGGAACAACCAATGAACTCTACGGGAACAACCAATGAACTCTACGGGAACAACCAATGAACTCTATGGGAGCAACTAATGAACTCTACGGAAACCATCCGTCCGACAATCTCTGCAGTACCTGTAGTAGTGTAAAAGTAGTACCTGTAGCAGTGTTACTGCAGTACCTGTAGTTGTTGTACTCGCGCTCCTTCAAGCTGGTCGATGTTGTCGCCTCTTCAGCAGGAGTTTCTGTTTCTCGACGATCAGCAGCGGTCTGCAGATGCGTCCGGCGTCCGTGTAGATCCTGATCTCTCGCTCTCTGATATCTCTGATCATGGATACCTGGAACAGTCAGAACCAGCAGAACCCTGAGAACTCCATCTGGGGACATTTCATATTTCAGCCTAGTGCTTTTTTGTGCTGACTGCTCATTGGCTCCTGCTGAAGACGTTCATCTTTAAAACAACTCTGGAGAGTTTCAGATTAACGAAAAAAAGATGGTCTCTGGGACAGCTGGTGGTTTCAGACCCCCCCAGCAAAATGAAAACCATCAGGCTGCGGTGAACGGGAGCAGCGGTAGACAGGAGGTTTGGTTACCTCAGACACGATGATGTCCATCTGTCGGCGGAGTTTCCTCAGTGTGTTCATCAGCTGTTCGGGGTCTTTGTGGATCCCCACCCAACAGCCGTTCACAAAAGATCTTAGTGGCACTGAGAGATTAAAACACATGAGCGAGATGAGGGTACTGCCATAATGTCAGTCAGCCTGAGACAGTCCATATGTTTATATTACATTTAGACAGTTCACCAGGAAGCATTCACTTTAATTTCTACACTTATGTGCAGACTGATAGACTGCAGTTAACTGACTCTGCGATGGCCGCTGGAGAGATCTCCTCCAGGTTCTCCATGCTCCACTCCTCTAAGAACTCCAGGATGGGTGACGGCTGGATCCCACGGAGATATAGGCCATGAGGGCCAAGTTCTTCACCAGCCCCACCGCGTGGCCCTGCAACACACACACACACGTTCAGATTTCTCAGGGTGTTTTGCGGTGTGTGTCAGGGTGTATGATGTGATGTTTTGCAGTGTGTGTGTTGTGATGTTTTGCAGTGTGTGTCAGGGTGTATGATGTGATGTTTTGCAGTGTGTGTCAGGGTGTGTGTTGTGATGTTTTGCAGTGTGTGTCAGGGTGTATGTTGAGATGTTTTGCGGTGTGTGTCAGGGTGTATGATGTGATGTTTTGCAGTGTGTGTCAGGGTGTATGATGTGATGTTTTGCAGTGTGTGTCAGGGTGTATGATGTGATGTTTTGCAGTGTGTGTCAGGGTGTGTGTTGTGATGTTTTGCGGTGTGTGTCAGGGTGTGTGTTGTGATGTTTTGCGGTGTGTGTCAGGGTGTGTGTTGTGATGTTTTGCGGTGTGTGTCAGGGTGTGTGTTGTGATGTTTTGCGGTGTGTGTCAGGGTGTGTGTTGTGATGTTTTGCGTGATTGTGTCTGTCAGGGTGTGTGTTGTGATGTTTTGCGGTGTGTGTCAGGGTGTGTGTTGTGATGTTTTGCGGTGTGTGTCAGGGTGTATGATGTGATGTTTTGCGGTGTGTGTCAGGGTGTGTTCAGATGTTATGCGGTGTGTGTCAGGGTGTGTGTTCAGATGTTATGCGGTGTGTGTCAGGGTGTGTGTTCAGATGTTATGCGGTGTGTGTCAGGGTGTGTGTTCGGATGTTATGCGGTGTGTGTTCAGATGTTATGCGGTGTCTGTCAGGGTGTGTGTTCAGATGTTTTGCGGTGTGTGTTCAGATGTTATGCGGTGTGTGTCAGGGTGTGTGTTCAGATGTTATGCGGTGTGTGTCAGGGTGTGTGTTCAGATGTTATGCGGTGTGTGTCAGGGTGTGTGTTCAGATGTTATGCGGTGTGTGTCAGGGTGTGTGTTCAGATGTTATGCGGTGTGTGTCAGGGTGTGTGTTCAGATGTTATGCGGTGTGTGTTCAGATGTTATGCGGTGTCTGTCAGGGTGTGTGTTCAGATGTTTTGCGGTGTGTGTCAGGGTGTGTGTTGTGATGTTTTGCGGTGTCTGTCAGGGTGTATGCTGTGATGTTTTGTGTACCTCAGGCGTCTCAGCCGGACACACCATCCCCCACAGTGTGTTGTGCAGCTGTCGAGGTTTGGCCAGCTTTCCGTCTCTGCCGATGGGAGAGTTGAGTCGGCGGAGGTGAGACAGTGTGGAGGCAAAGGTCAGGCGGTTCAACACCTGAGGGAGGAAGAGGAAGGAAAAGGAGAAGAGGTAGAAGGAGAAGAGGAAGAAGCAGAAAAATAAGTCAGGACGATCCTTGCTGAGCTGAAGATGTTTGGCGCGGGGTCTTCCTGAGCTTTGATACTAATGATTTGAGGGTTGAGGAGTATGAACTGTGACAGTTTGAACAGTATGACCCCAAGCCTCTCACCTGAGACACTCCAGCTCTGGCTTGGTGAGCCTTCTTCACGTCTCCCCAGTTCCCCGTGGCCAGAGAGTACTTCAGGCCGTCCGAGATGATACGGGTTTTGATGGCCAGCTCCAGGTTGAAGTCCTTCCCTCTGTCGATGAACTTCTGTGCATAGATCCTGATCTCCTTCAGCAGGTTCTTAAACATGCTGACAACCACACAGTGTTCATTAGCAGATTATAATTATACACACTTTGAACGTGTGTGTGTGTGCACCCACCCTCTGAATAGGAAGGCCAGCAGCGGCCCAGCCAGGTCCAGCCTCTTGTTGCCGTAGTGATCCCTGTCGTCCAGCTCCCGCCGACCCAGAGCCGCCAGCAGCAGCCGGTGCACCATGTACCTGCAACACACACACAGTTACACTCCCTAACACAGTGACACCGGTCTCACACACACCTGCGGTCTCTCAAGTGTCTCACACTCACACCTGCGGTCTCTCAAGTGTCTCACACTCACACCTGCGGTCTCTCAAGTGTCTCACACTGGCGGTCTCTCAAGTGTCTTACACCTGCGGTCTCTCACACACACACCTGCGGTCTCTCACACACACACCTGCGGTCTCTCACACACACACCTGCAGTCTCTCACACACACACCTGCGGTCTCTCACACACACACCTGCGGTCTCACACACACACCTGCAGTCTCTCACACACACACCTGCGGTCTCTCACACACACACGCGGTCTCTCACACACACACCTGCGGTCTCTCACACACACACCTGCAGTCTCTCACACACACACCTGCAGTCTCTCACACTGGCGGTTTCTCAAGTGTCACACACACACACCTGCGGTCTCTCAGGTGTCACACACACCTGTGGCCTCTCAGGTATCTCACACCGGCGGTCTCTCTCAGGTGTCTCACACACACCTGCGGTATCTCAAGTGTCTCACACTCACACCTGCGGTCTCTCAGGTGTCACACACACCTGCGGTCTCTCAGGTGTCTCACACACACACCTGCGGTCTCTCAAGTGTCTCACACTCACACCTGTGGTCTCTCTCAGGTGTCACACACACCTGTGGTCTCTCAGGTGTCTCACACTTACACCTGCGGTCTCTCTCAAGTGTCTCACATTCACACCTGCGGTCTCTCTCAGGTGTCTCACACACACCTGTGGTCTCTCAGGTGTCTCACACACACCTGTGGTCTCTCAGGTGTCTCACACACACCTGTGGTCTCTCAGGTGTCTCACACACACCTGTGGTCTCTCAGGTGTCTCTCACACACACGTGCGGTCTCTCTCAGGTGTCTCACACACACCTGTGGTCTCTCAGGTGTCTCACACACACCTGTAGTCTCTCAGGTGTCTCACACACACCTGTAGTCTCTCAGGTGTCTCACACACACCTGTGGTCTCTCAGGTGTCTCACACACACACACCTGTGGTCTCTCAGGTGTCTCACACACACACACCTGTGGTCTCTCAGGTGTCTCACACACACCTGTGGTCTCTCAGGTGTCTCACACACACCTGTGGTCTCTCAGGTGTCTCTCACACACACCTGTGGTCTCTCAGGCGTCTCACACACACACCTGTGGTCTCTCAGGTGTTTCACTCACACCTGTGGTCTCAGGTGTGACTCACCCCAGGAAATAGGCCTTCTTGGTCTCACAGAAGTCGCTGACCCCGACGTGTGGCAGCATCTCCTTCTGCAGGACTTCTTTGGCGTATTTTATTCTGCGTTCCTTGGTCACGCCGGGCTTCGCTCCCCTGGAGCCGATGAAGTTCAGTGCCACGTTCTGCTCCTGGATCACAAAGGCCTCGTCCAGAGACGGCTTCACCTGCAGACACAGTGACATCACAGGTGGGCGGGGCTAACATGACTACCTGCAGATGGAACACCACACCTGATGGGGCACTGGAACGTACCATCTCCATCATCTCCGGGTCGTCGAAGTCGTAGATGATGTGTTCCAGGATGTCTCTGTCGGACACGAAGCCCAGCGCCCGGAACACGATGATAATCGGCACTTCCTGTCTGATGTAGGGCAGCGTGGAGACGATCCTCTGACCAATGGCGCTCTTCTTCACTCCCTGAGAGGAATCACCGAGTTAGACGTAGCGGCACAGAAACGTTACGTGTTGGTATTTAATCACAGGAGCAACTCACCTGTCCTCCGCGGGCCATCATGCTGACCCAGATGGTGCTGGTGGGCCGGGACGAGTTCTCCAGGCAGGACCGGCACTCGCCTGTGTACGCGTACTTTGAGTCCTTCTTAGCAAACACGTACACCGTGTTGGTGGCCATCTTCTCCTGAGCGATTAGCACCTGGGAACACACCATCCTCATTAACAAGTGCACCGGTTAGCTTAGCATAGGGCAGATGCCCTGGTTAGCTTAGCATTAGGCACATGCCCTGGTTAGCTTAGCATTAGGCACATGCCCTGGTTAGCTTAGCATTAGGCACATGGTGTACCTTCTCGGAGCCGTTGATGATGAAGTAGCCCCCGGGGTCGAGCGGACACTCGTTGAGTTCACACAGGTCTCTGTCCGTCAGCCCGCTCAGCAGACAGTAGGTGGAGCGAAGCATGATGGGGATTTTACCAATGAAGGTCTTCTGGTGCTGAGTCTGCAGCTGGTCCTCGCCCTCCTTTATGATGGTCTTTGTGATGTCCACGTACAGCGGGGCCGAATAACTGAGGGCAGAACACACACTTTTACTCAGACCTGAGGGGGGAACACACACATTGCCTCAGACCTGAGGAACACACACATTTACTCAGACCTGAGGAACACACACATTGCCTCAGACCTGAGGAACACACACATTTACTCAGACCTGAAGGGGGAACACACACATTTACTCAGACCTGAGGGGGAACACACACATTTACTCAGACCTGAAGGGGGAACACACACATTTACTCAGACCTGAGGAACACACACATTTACTCAGACCTGAGGAACACACACATTTACTCAGACCTGAAGGGGGAACACACACATTTACTCAGACCTGAGGAACACACACATTTACTCAGACCTGAGGAACACACACATTTACTCAGACCTGAAGGGGGAACACACACATTTACTCAGACCTGAGGAACACACACATTGCCTCAGACGTACGTGAGGTTTCTGAGCCGGGCTTCGTTGGGCATCATGGGTGACGGCGCTCCGTCTCTCTCCCAGTGAGTGGGCTTGGACAGGTAGATCTGCTCGAACTTCAGCAGGTAGCGAGGCTGAAACAGAGAGTCAGTGAGAGCTGGTCTGAGCAGAACTGAAGGAGGATCTCTGACCCCTTTCCCACCAAACCAGCTCCAGGTCTAGCTCTGGTTCCGAATGGGTTCTTCTTTTTAGTCCCAGTTGTGTTTCCACTGCCCAGGGGCCTCATTTATAACGCCTTGCGTAGGATTGACGTAGGAAGGTTGCTTACGTAGTACAAAGCACAAAAATAGGTACATACATTTTCCGCCATTTTCCGATTCACAAAACATTGCGTACCGGCGAGGGAAGTGCGTACGGCACTCCCTACGCCTGTTTCCCTTTATAAAACACAATCGACTCGTAACGCCCATATTTGCCTATAAATAGTCAAAGAAACGCCCATTCATTCATTCATTCATTCATTCTGACTGACTGCATGAAGAAGATCGCAGGAAATTACGACAGAACAGCTAAAAAAGACATCTCACACCGTGTCAGATTTTGGTTATTTTGGGGAGGTGGAGATAAATCATATTGTTTGGTGGATGCAGTTTGAACCAGAGTAGCAGCATGGAGGTCGGATCGTCACCAAAATAAATAAATAAGTGGTCCGAAAAAAGTTAATGACAACAAAAATACACATAACCTTCCTCAGGCAGTGTGTTTGTCCCGGGGACAGGAGACCCCCCCCCCCTTGATGAGACACTGTAAGAAATGATCGGGGAATCCCTCCGGAGTGTAGTCATGACGACTGGATCTGAATTATTTTTGTTGTATTTGGTGGTTTGTGTTCCAGCTGTCGATCAGCAACTATATCTCCATAATCCACCAGTTAAAGGAAATACAATGTGTTGTGTTATATTAGCTGTACAATTTACCACATATGGTGTTCTTAGTTTCCATACCTCCTGTGTTTACGAGCGACTTATCAAGTCTTGGCAAACGGCATAAAACACGATTAAACGTGATAGGATATAAAACCATGCTCGTATCTACAACCTATAGAAATGCAAAACGGCGTCAGTTTAGACGTAATTCTGTCCTCCTGCTTACCGCATCATTTATGAGAAAACATTTCATAACATTAACACAACATATTCGAGGTGGTTTTAAATAGCATATCCGTATTTATTATTTCTCCAAGTTATGTTTTTGTGTGCACTGAGGAGTCTCAAACAGGCGTTTGTTTAATCATTTAAAGATTGGCTTTAATCAATGTTTGAAAATGAATTCTTCATATTTGATAAATGAGAGGTAACATTTTATTTATGGTATTATTTCTACATATTTCTCTCCATTCTTTCTTCTGCCATCGGTGTCGCAGTTTCTCGTCTCTCCCGTTTGTGTGCTTAGTGCGTACGCATGGGTTAGAGTTTGCGTGGAGGACAGCACATTTTCCCGTCAAGTTAGTATTTTATAAATCGCAAACATTGCGTAGAAACTGGCGTACGCCATTTTTTGAGCGTATATCCCTTTATAAATGAGGCCCCAGAGCCCGACTGGCGCTGCGTCATAACGTCACAGTTTATGGCTCTGATTTTCCGAGCAACGGCGGTCACAACAACAACAACAACAACAGTGGGGGACTGCGGCGGGCAGATGCTCATGTTGTCGGGCACTAGCTCTGAACTGGCCCTGGAACCGGTTTGGGGGGAAAGGGGCACCTGAGAGCCAGATCAGGGCCACTCCGATCAGCACAGTTATTCATTATATTCATAATATTAATATGTGTTACTTATTATTCTGTGTAATCACTCCCACATGTTAACACACTGTGATGCTACCAGATGAACTGTGTCGCCCTGATCCTGATCCAGGTGATAGACCTTACCGGTTCATCCACCTCTCCGGAGGTGTGCTGGGCTTCAGCCTGCAGGTCGATGGGGGGGGCGTCCTCCACGATCCTCTGAACAGACATCTGGATGAACTCATCGAACGAATCCAGCTGCTGCCGCACCAGACCCTTCTCGTCAAAATAAGAGCTGCAAGACAAAGGGAAGCTTCGTCAGAATAAGAGGAACCCGTGTTGGTCTTCATCCCTGGATCGAGGGGTTATCCAGAATCATTGATCGGCCTTAAACATTGAGAGGAAGCAAAGATATTTATCTCAAAGTCAACGAGCAAAAGTTTGAACATGAAATATTAAGTCAGATTCACTCTTTCAACATTAAAGCATGTTCATTGGGTCTGCCTGAAAGAGAGGGTGAGGGTCTGCCTGAAAGAAAGGGTGAGGGTCTGCCTGAAAGAAAGGGTGAGGGTCTGCCTGAAAGAGTGAGGGTCTGCCTGAAAGAGTGAGGGTCTGCCTGAAAGAGTGAGGGTCTGCCTGAAAGAGTGAGGGTCTTAGGCTAACCCTATGGTATAGGCTCCGCCCTCTTAGGCTAACCCTATGGTATAGGCTCCGCCCTCTTAGGCTAACCCTATTGGGTAATCCCACAGTGCGTAACCCCAGTTTATTAACCTCTAAAGAGTCATTATACAAACACTAGTGTTGAAGCTGTTGAAGCTGAACCAGGTGAGTTTATCACATCTCACCTGATGACGATCCAACACGCCTCCTGCCACAAATCTGGAGTGATTTCATCATCATCCTCTTCGTACTGCGGATCTGACAGACACACAACATGTTAGAGACACACAACATGTTAGAAACAACATGTCAGAGACACACAACATGTTAGAAACAACATGTCAGAGACACACAACATGTTAGAAACAACATGTTAGAAACAACATGTCAGAGACACACAACATGTCAGAGACACACAACATGTCAGAGACACACAACATGTTAGAAACAACATGTTAGAAACAACATGTCAGAGACAACATGTCAGAGACACACAACATGTCAGAGACACACAACATGTCAGAGACACACAACATGTTAGAAACAACATGTCAGAGACAACATGTCAGAGACACACAACATGTCAGAGACAACATGTCAGAGACACACAAATGTCAGAGACACACAACATGTCAGAGACACACAACATGTGGATCAGATAAATGTAAATGAAGCTAACGTTAGCATGTTAGCAGCCTGCTGTTTTGAATAGTTAGTATATTAAAGTAATATAATAGTATACATATTGAAAGAGTAACAGTTACAGATTGAGCTCTGACTCGTTCTGTCATCAGATTACTACAGATATTATTAATATTATATAAAGTAAGAATAAAGTAAGAATGAAGCTAACGTTAGCATGTTAGCAGCCCGGTGTTTTGAATGTTCTGAATGAGGTTAACAGCTACAGTTAGCATATAGATAGATAGATAGATATAATAGCATGTTAGAGGTTAATCATCAGCTCACCTTCTTCCGGCTCGTACATCTCTATGTTTGATATCTTTAATATCTTTTATCGCTTTTATCTCCGGATAAAATACACGACTTTGTGACAAACAGCGCGCTCCGGAGATACACACGTGACTTCCGGTCTTCTTCTTCTTCTGTGGGGTTACCTTCTTCTTCTTCTTCTCTCGTTTTTGGCGGATTGCAAACAACTTAAAAGGTGCATACCGCCACCTACTGTACATGAGTATGAATCATCATATCATTCCAACTCTTTAACCTATGATCTAATCAAAAATAAATCAAAATAAATAAATAAATCAACAAAAACATGAAATAAATAAAACAAAAATCTATGATCTTTCCTGACCTAATGTTAAATTATTTTTCCTACCCCAGTTTTACTCAAGAATGTAAACAGTGCATTTCTGGTAGCTCTCACTCCCTCTCCTTTTGTTCCCAAAACACCAACCTCACTCCATTCCCTCTCTGCCTCTAAAACTTTAGCCTTTAGTTTTTCTCTTTCCGCTTTATAGATGTCACAATGTAACAAGATATGTTCTACCAGTGGCGAGCCGTCAGGGCCCTCTAGGCGCTCTGTGAGTGCCTAAGATATTCTAAAAAATAATATTTGAAAACATTAAAAAAAAAACATTTGTTTTAAATATATTTTTTTAAATATCTTTTTAGTTATATTTTTCATTAGTTTTACCAAAATAACTTAATTTAATTGTATTTAAAATAACATTTCCAAATAAATAAATCCTTCGAATCTGCCTGTTCAGTTTCTGTTGGAATGTGAAGGGTTAAATGCATGGATGTATAATAAGAACTGGATACAGCGTGGGAGGCGGGGCCTCATTCATTCCTATGAGAGCTGCTCATTCGCGATCATCATTTCACTAAACTCTACATCATTTCACTCTAAACTCTACATCATTTCACTCTAAACTCTACATAATTTCACTCTAAACTCTACATCATTTCACAGTAAAGTAAAGTAACGAGTAACGTAGCGAGTAAAGTAAAGTAACGAGTAATGTAACGAGTAAAGTAACGAGTAACGTAGCGAGTAAAGTAAAGTAGCGAGTAAAGTAACGAGTAAAGTAGCGAGTAAAGTAACGAGTAAAGTAGCGAGTAAAGTAGCGAGTAAAGTAACGAGTAAAGTAGCGAGTAAAGTAACGAGTAAAGTAACGAGTAAAGTAACGAGTAAAGTAGCGAGTAAAGTAGCGAGTAAAGTAGCGAGTAAAGTAGCGAGTAAAGTAACGAGTAAAGTAGCGAGTAAAGTAACGAGTAAAGTAGCGAGTAAAGTAACGAGTAAAGTAACGAGTAACGTAGCGAGTAAAGTAAAGTAACGAGTAAAGTAACGAGTAAGTAGCGAGTAAGTAACGAGTAAAGTAGCGAGTAAAGTAGCGAGTAAAGTAGCGAGTAAAGTAACGAGTAAAGTAGCGAGTAAAGTAGCGAGTAAAGTAACGAGTAAAGTAGAGAGTAAAGTAACGAGTAAAGTAACGAGTAAAGTAACGAGTAAAGTAACGAGTAAAGTAGCGAGTAAAGTAGCGAGTAAAGTAGCGAGTAAAGTAACGAGTAAAGTAGAGAGTAAAGTAGCGAGTAAAGTAGCGAGTAAAGTAACAAGTAGAGAGTAAAGTAACGAGTAAAGTAACGAGTAAAGTAACGAGTAAAGTAACGAGTAAAGTAGCGAGTAAAGTAGCGAGTAAAGTAGCGAGTAAAGTAACGAGTAAAGTAACGAGTAAAGTAGCGAGTAAAGTAGAGAGTAAAGTAGAGAGTAAAGTAACGAGTAAAGTAACGAGTAAAGTAGCGAGTAAAGTAACGAGTAAAGTAGCGAGTAAAGTAGCGAGTAAAGTAGCGAGTAAAGTAGCGAGTAAAGTAACGCAGGTAAAGTAGCGAGTAAAGTAACGAGTAAAGTAACGAGTAAAGTAACGAGTAAAGTAAAGTAGCGAGTAAAGTAACGAGTAAAGTAGCGAGTAAAGTAACGAGTAAAGTAGAGAGAGTAAAGTAACGAGTAAAGTAGCGAGTAAAGTAACGAGTAAAGTAACGAGTAAAGTAGCGAGTAAAGTAACGAGTAAGTAACGAGTAAAGTAACGAGTAAAGTAACGAGTAAAGTAGCGAGTAAAGTAAAGTACGAGTAAAGTAACGAGTAAAGTAGAGAGTAAAGTAACGAGTAAAGTAGCGAGTAAAGTAACGAGTAACGTAGCGAGTAAAGTAACGAGTAAAGTAACGAGTAAAGTAGCGAGTAAAGTAGCGAGTAAAGTAGCGAGTAAAGATATGTTGCCTCCTATGTACAAGGTTAACATTGAAAGTGACGATGATATGTCCCAATGCGTCTCAATGTACATGTTACTCCAGCTGCCTATCAGTTTACTCCACTCAAATTGCAAAATACTCGCGTTCCATGGACAGACGTGTAATACACTCAAATTACAATAGATGGAGCTCTAGACTAATTTATAAAATTTGTAAAAATGTTGTTAACACTCTGGGTGTGTGAGACGAGTGAACCAAAACGTAAAACCTCCGCAATTAAAACAGTTTAATCGAGTTTGAGCACTAATATACCCATGTTTTGAACACTTTAGCGGGGTACATGTGGTATCTGTTCACCCTGGTCCTGAATTAAAACAGTTCCCCCGACTTTAAACACTAATGTGCCCATGATTCAGACACTTATTCCTGGCTAAATCTGTTATCTTTTCCCCCCTGGGTGTGTGTGAGACAAGTGAACTGAGTCAGCTTGCCAACAACCAGCAGTCTGCTGTCATTTTAAACATGTTCCCCGACTTTTAACACACTTTTACCCATGTTTTGAGCACTTATTCCTGGGTCAATGTGTCATCTCTTCACCCTGGTCCTGAATTAAAACAGTTTGACCTTATTTTAACACTCATGTAGCCATGTTGGCAGCGCTGCTCACCGGGTAACACTTGAAATACACTGTCCTGTTGAATTAAAACATTTCCCCCGACTTTAAACACTAATGTGCCCATGTTTTGAGCACTTATTCCTGGCTAAATGTGTTATCTTTTCACCCTGGGTGTGTGTATGTCTGCCTGGAAGTGTGATATGCTGCTTAAAGCAGTGATTCTGCTGTTTTTAGTTTCTTGTACATTTAACAAATTAAATATGATTAATATGTACATTGTCCTGTCTATACTGACACGTTTATGTCCATAACTCCGTATGTTTATGTCGTCCATAAAACGACAATAATGAGTTAATTAAAACATTTTGGCCGCTCATAGGCGGCCTGCCATGCGCACCTTGAGTCCCCGGGCCCCCTGACTTAAGCACACTGCCTTGGACAAAACCCCATGTGCATAACTGCCAGACAAGCGTGCCCCTGGTAACCTAAAAATATGAAAAGTGTCTGAGTGTCAGGAGTCCGCAGTTGGATGCTTAAGGGCGGACGGTAGACCACCACAAAATCCACCCCTTGTTAGTCTTACCAGGGGCACGAGGTTCTGGAGGGTGTGAATATCTGGGTTTAGTCCGTGGGGGAGTGCTTAACTGCGGGGGCCCGGGGACTCATGGTGTGCAAGGTTATGGAGGAGTGCCACTGTTAGGGACTCATGCTGGAGGTCTCTAGTCCGTCCTTTGGGGGTCTGTGAGCCGCCACATAGAGCCTGCATTTAAACAGATTCACCAGTTTATAACATTACTTTAGCCCTGATCAGAGCCCTGTTTTCTGGGTAAGACAGCGAGGTGCTGTACCCTGGGTCTCTGGGTCTATGGGTCTCTGAGACCCTGCTAAAAGCAGTGACTCTGCTGCCTGCATTTAAACAGATTCACCAGTTTATAACATTACTTTAGCCCTGATCAGAGCCCTGTTTTCTGGGTAAGACAGCGAGGTGCTGTACCCTGGGTCTCTGGGTCTATGGGTCTCTGAGACCCTGCTAAAAGCAGTGACTCTGCTGCCTGCATTTAAACAGATTCACCAGTTTATAACATTACTTTAGCCCTGATCAGAGCCCTGTTTTCTGGATAAGACAGCGAGGTGCTGTACCCTGGGTCTCTGGGTCTATGGGTCTCTGAGACCCTGCTAAAAGCAGTGATTCTGCTGTTTTTAGCTCATTGTACATTTAACTTATTAAATATGATTAATATGTACATTACCCCGTCTATACTGACACATTTATGTCCATAACTCTGTATGTTTATTGAGTCCAATGTACACCGTCTAAAAACGACAATTATGACTGAATTAAAACAGTTTGACAGCATTTTAACACTCATGTAGCCATGTTTGCAGCCCTGTTCCCTGGGTAACAATTGAATTACCCTCTCCTGTTGAATTAAAACATTTCCCACGGCTTTAAACACTAATATACCCATGATTCAGACAATTATTCCTGGGTAAATGTGTTATCTTTTCACCCTGGTCCTGAATTAAAACAGTTCCCCCGACTTTAAACACTAATGTACCCATATTTTGCCGACTTATTCCTGGGTTAATATATCATCTTTTCCCCCTGGGTGTGTGTGGCACCATCTGGTGGAACATTTGTGAATTACACTAAAATCCAAAACTTTAATGTTTTTTATCTTAGCGAAATAATGGTTTAATGACCCCAATGTAATGATTATTTATGATTCTGCAGACGTTGTCTACACGTGTATCACAACGGCTTATTTTTAGAGAGATTTGGAAAACTCGGTTAGCGAGGTTTATTTTTGTCAATATGAGATGCACTGTTTTCATGTCCCATGTACATGTCTGTACATATGGCCTCACGCACTACTAACATATACTAACAGAGAGTAACAGCTGGCGAAATTACAGCCTCGCCTACTGATTTTAATTTAACCATATATCGAGCCCGATCGTCGATTTCAAATGTGTGCTCCAAAATGATATTTATAAATGACTATTATCATTATTATAAGCAAGACAATAAATGGCAAAGATATGTAGAAAATAAACGTATTTAAGATACGTTCATAACAAACGTAACGTGGGGGAAAATATGTTTCTAGAAGATATGTAGAAAATAAACGTATTTAAGATACGTTCATAACAAACGTAACGTGGGGGAAAATATGTTTCTAGCTAAACGTAATTGAGAATGCAGTTTAGTTCTGTGGGAACGTAATCTTTAGGAGACAGGGTTGCTCCTGCTGATGTTCAGGTGT